TAGGGTGTGAGGGGTGTGAGAATTATCAGCAGAGGGGTGATAACAGGTTGTCAAGAGAAGGTTACTTCACACTGAAAGAGCGAGGTGACATCACAAAAGTTCCTGAGAATGTCTCTATAGCCCCAAGCTGTCCTGGGTCCCTGACGATGGGGTCTTGAAGGATGGGAAAACTTCTGACCCTCCCAGGAGGGATATGAATGCATAACCAAGGCCTCAGGCAGACCAGACTCTGAGTTTTCACATACTTCATCAGCCCAGTGAGGTATACTATTCAGTTCAGTTGAGTTCAGTTGCTTAGTCATGTCCAACTCTTTGCAACCCCACAGACTGCGGCACGCCAGGCCTCCCTGTCCATCACCAACTCCCAGAGTTTACTCAAACTCATGTCCATTGAGTTGGTGATGCCATCCAACCATCTCATCCTCTGTCATCCCCTTCTCCTCCTGCCTTCAATCTTTCCCAGCATCAGGGTCTTTTCCAATGACTCAGTTCTCCACATCAGGTGGCCAAAGTATTGGACTTTCAGCTTCAGCATCAGTCCTTTCAATGAATATTCAGGACTGATCTCCTCTAGGATGGATTGGTTGGATCTCCTTTCAGTCCAAGGGACTCTCAACAGTCTTCTCCAACACCAGTCCAAAAGCATCAATTCTTTGGCACTCTACTTTCTTTACGGTCCAGTTCTCACATTTATACATGACCACTAGGAAAACCATAGCTTTGACTAGATGGACCTTTGTTGGCAAAGTAATGTCTTTACTTTTTAATATACTTTCTAGGCTATTCCCACGTTACAAATGAGGAAACTGAGGCTCAGAGAGGGAAACTGCCTTGCCCAAAGTCACACAGCCCAGATTTGAGTTCAAGTGGTCTTCCCAGTTCTGTAAGGCTGCCTGAGCAGAGCAAGCACCATGCTTTCTATCTCATGGAGTCCAATGCCTTCCCTGCAGGGGGACCTTCAGTGGAGGGAGTAACTTGGGGTTCCATGCTGGGCAGAATTCGCATCACTGCTCCTGTCCTCTGATAACTCTCAACTGTGTTGATAGATCCATGGTACTGAAGCTTCTAGAACCATAGGCTCTGAAGGACATAACATCCTGGCTAAGCATACTCTCAGACAACTCTCTCAGGCTGTGACCCTCATACTTTACATAGATAAGGAATCTGAAGCTCAGAGAGGCTGAATGAACTCCCTAAAATTGCACAGCAGGTCAGGGGTAGGGGTTGCTCAATTTTCGGGCCACTGATCCACTAGCTCCTAGGTGACTTTCCCTGGCTTAAGCCTCCTTCATGGATGTTAATGAGTCCATGACCAGTGGCAGTTCATATCTGCTTCCTGTCTGATGTTTACCTGGGACCCACCCATAAGTATTTATTGAATAACTGAGGAGATGAACCAGATGCCAAGCCGTTTATATGTATTATGTCACTTATCCTCACCATCCCTCTTCATAGCAGGAGAGGTGAGCCCCAATATACAGGTGTGGAAACTGAGACTCAGAGAAAGGAAATACCTTGCTCAAGGTTTCTGAGCTGGTGGAATTTGAACAGAAAGTCAACTTCTCTTGTTCACCACTCTCCCTTTTTGCATCTCAGTTGCCTCTCTACCCCTGTTCATATTAGATGCCTGAGTTCTGCTCTGCAGGGTCTCTGAAGGTCCCAGAGCATTCAACAGGACCAGTCCCTGGAAACCTCTATCATAAGCTTTGCTGAAACTGACAAGGTCATATGGAGAAGGGAATGGCTACCCACTCCAGTATTCTTGCCTGGAGAATTCCACGGACAGAGGAGCCAGGCAGCCTATACAGTCCATGGGGTCCCAAAGAGTCCATGGGGTCACAAAGAGCAATGAATACTCACACACTTACAAGATCACAAGTTGTCTGGTCTTAAGCCAGAGAGAGGAGGGTGGGCTATAGACACTCCCATCTGAGTCCCCCTGCCTCTTCCCTGGGTTCACCTCTAACACAGCAAGACCTCTGCTCTTAGCAGGATCTGAACACACATTTGTGAGCACACACAGACTCGTGCTGAGGTGCTGGCTCTGGTCCTGAGAGTTGGCATTATCAGACTTAATACCATGCTCAATTTGATCTCCATGTTTAGCAATTTGATCTCCAAGCTTAGCAAAGCAGATTTTCCTCATTAATCTGCATTTATACTTCAAGGCAGCGCAGCAGAGTTCAACCCCTTTTTACTTAGCTGAATGAACATGAAAAGGTCAAAAGACTTCTTCATAATTAGAGAGCATCTCCCTCCTTCTCTCCCCCTGCTCCAGCCAGCCTTGCCCCTTCTCCTCCTGGTCTTTCTCTTCTGCGTCTCTGCTCCTGAAATCCCCAGGTATGTGCCTATAGTCCTGAGTCAGGGGAAGTGAGAGATGAACTGCCCAGGGCCGGAGGGGGTGGTGACCTTGGGTCAGACAGACCCAGACTTGAGCCCACACTTCTTCACTTTCTCCAGCTGCAACCTGGAGCAAGAGATTTGATTTAAACATCTCTGTAATGGCCATGAGACCCACACCTACTCCACAAGGCTGTTACAAAAATTAAATGAGATAATGTGCATGAGATTAACACGGTGCCTGGCACAAGGGAACTGATCAATGACTGCACTGGGTAAGCTGTAATTCAGACACTAAAGGATGCCAGGAGCAGGGATTCTGGGCCCACCTTGGCCCTGACCACATGGGATGCACCTAGCTCTGGCAGCAGGGGCAGGGGTATGAAATCTGGTCTTTCACTCAAGAAATAAAGGGTTTAAATTGAGTCTAATCAAAGCCAAAGGATAGAGAAGCTGGAAAGGCCATTGAGAGCTATTCACGTGATGAGTGGTTAAAAACTGAGGTCCTCAGACTCAACCCACTAGAAAGTAAGTGATGGGCCGCAGTGCCATGGCCAGTTACTCTCGGCTCCACCCACATCCCACAGTGACTCAGGGACTACGGGAGCTGGAAGGACCCCAAGAAGGTAATTTTGACCTAAATGAAAATAAAAATGTATCTGTATTTGTGGGATGTGACTAAAGCAGTAATTAGGGGGAAATGCATAACACTAAACGCCTACATTAGAATAGAGGTGTCAAATCAATTATGTTAGATCCCACCTTAAGATACAGAAAAAAAAAGAAATTTAAACCCAAAGTAAGCAGAAAAGAGGAAGTAAGAAAGGTGAGAGCTGATATTAGTGAATTGAAAATAGAAAAAGAAAAAACATAAAACTGAAGTCTGATGTTTTGAGGTTAATAAAATAATATATATGTCAGTCCCAATCTCCCAATTTACCCCCCTCTACACACACTACTATATAGAAAACATAACTAATAAAGACCTACTGTAGCGCAGGGAACTCTACTCAGTACTTTGTAGTGGCCTATATGGGGGAAGAATCCAAAAAAAAAGAAAAAGTGGAGATATATATATCTCCTAGACTATATATAGACCTGGACTAGCCAAGCAAGTTTAAAGAAAAAGGACAAAGAAGGAGAACTAACACCACCTGATTTCAGGACTTATTATAAAGCTATGATAATAAAGACAGTGTGGTATGGATATCAAGATGGATGAATAGGTCAATGGAAAAAAATAGAATCCAGAAGGAAATTCATATATATATGGACATCTGATTTTTGACAAAGGTAAAAAGGCAGTTCAGTAGAGAAAGGACAATATTTTCAAAAATGGTGCTGGAATAATTGGAAGTCTATAGGCTGATTTTTGAAATTTGATCCATATTTAAAATTTATTTCACATGAATTATAAACCTAAATGTAAAACCTAAAACTCTACACTTTTAGGGAAAATTATAGGAAAAAATCTTTGTAATCTGGGGTTAAGGAAAGACTTCTTAGATTGGATACCAAAACCAAAACATATATAAGAACAAACTGATAAATTGAACTTTGTACAAATTTAAAACTTCTGCTTTTCAATAAATGTTGTCAAGAGAATGAAAAGACAGGCCATGAACTGGAGAAAATATTTGCAAATATGATAAAGGAGTTGTGTACAGAATATTTAAAGAACTTTGGTAACTCAAAAATAAGAAAATAAACAACTCAAAGACATGGACAAAAGGTTTGAATAGACATTTAACCAAACAACATAAACAGGCAGCAAGTAAGCACATAAAAATATTCAATATAATTAGTAATTAAAGAAATGCATTTCAGAACAACAGTGAGATCCTTACACTGCTCACATTTGATGATACCAAGTGTTGGTGAGGGTGTGGAGGAACTGGAATGCTCATACACTGCTGGTAGAAATATAAAACGCTATAGTCACTTTGGGAAAAAGTTAGGCTGTTTGTTAAAAAGTAATACTTACATATACTGTAAGTAATTCCTCTTCTAGATATTTACTGAAGAGAAGTGAAACTTATGTCCATATAAAGACATGTTTAAGAATGTTCTTAGCAGTTTTATTTGTGATATTACAAAAGTGGGAACAACCCAAATATCCATCAACAGGAAAATGGACAAATTGTATATTTGTGTGGTAGAATAGTAGTCCATTACAAAAATGAGTAAATTCTTGATACATACACACACAAATAAATGAATTTAGGAAAATATACCCAATATCTTGTAATAAACTGTATTGGAAAATAATCTAGAATATATATATAAATATATAAATATAAAACAGAATCTCTTTGCTGCATACCTGAAACTAACACAATATTGTAAGTCAAGCAGAATAAAATAAAATGAATTATGCTAAGTGAAAGAAACAAGGCAAAAAAATGCATCTTGTTTGATTTCATTGATTTATTCTAGAAAATATAAATTAACCTATAGTGACAGGAAACAGATCAGTGACTGCCTGGGGAGATGGATGGGGCTTTCTGGGGAGACGACTAAGGAGCTGGGGGAAAATTTGGGGGAATGATGGATATTTTCATTATTTTGATTGCAGTGATGGTTTCATGAATGTATACGTATGTCAAAACTTATCAAAATTTCCCTTTAATTATGTCTTTAAATATATCACAGTTAATATGTTTAATTTATCATATGTCAATTATATTTCAATGAAGTTGTTAAAAATATCCACTGCAATTGATGAGCTTTGCACAGGAAAAGCATGCCTTCCAACCAGGGAAAGCCAGGCCTGAACCCTGAGGGTTTTGCACAGGAGACTGAGACAGCCAGCCAGGCAGATGGGAGGGAAGCAGGCAGTCCCACAGAGTCAGAGCGTTTCCAGGAGGGGGCATGGCTCCTCGTGTCATACACCTCCAGCAGAGAAGCAGTCACAAGCGTGACCTTGACAAATCAGGAAGCAGTAGATGAGGCGTGAAAGGTGCCAGGGCAGGAGGTCCACCTGCTCAAGGTGGAGGTGAGGGAGTAGGGGCCAGCAGAGAGCTGGTGGTGTGGCAGGGGCTGAGGTTAAGAGAGGTCTTCTCGTTTCTTCTTGATTTTCGTCTGCCCTGCCCTGCTTTGCTTTTCACATGGAAGTGAGAATTCGCTTCGCAAACCTGATGACAGCATGGAGCGAGTGAGACTGGAGACTCCAGGCAGGAGAGGATGGAGTCCAGGGGAGGCTCGACCTTTGACGAGGCAGAACATGACTTTGGGGGGGTTAGGAAGACGACAAGCAGGTGGATATGACTATCAAGGTCAGGGAAACCCGGTGCCAGCTAGTGTGCCCTTGTCCCTTGGAAGAACCTAGTGTAAATGGCTTGAGCCCTTGACAGCCTATGACCACTGGTGGTCCTAGACCCTAGAACCCTCCTCCTGCAACTGGGCTCTTCCATCTGCCTCATTGACTGTATTTCATTTTGGGTTATTTCAAAGTGCAAAGCTCAGCTCCATCAGTGGTTTCTAAAATATCCACCTACACCAAGCATTTCTGAATTTTTTAGCCTTATTGCAAATTTGTAGGCACAGAGTCACTGTCTCCCTGGCTGCTCTCCTCTAGTGCCCCACACCCCCTTCTCTAGAAGAAACAGGCCTCCCCATCTCTTGCAGACAGTTTTTATCCTCTCCTTCTAGAAAGTCTTGACACCAGCTGGCTCCATACCCTCAGGGTATTGTTGTCATCATGTAGATCTCTTTTTTCAGACTCTTTTGTACTCTTCCTAAGAAGCATTCTGATTAACAAAAATGTCTTTGTGCTTCATGGGTATTAGCATCCTTGTTTTACAGATGAAGAAACAGAAGCACAGAGAAGGTAAGCAACTTGTCAGGGGTCACATAGCCTGGGAGACATTCTGGCAGCAGTAGCTCCATCTAGGTTATGGCAGGTGGACTCTTGGTTTCTATCCAGAGAGCCCTGGTCTGATCCCACTGACCAGCTGTCATAGTGCCCACAACAAAGGCCATCTATGGGGTAAATGAACTGACACATCTCAGTTCATTTCAGTTCAGTCGCTCAGTCATGTCCAGCTCTCTGCGACCCCACAGACAGCAGCATGCCAGGCCTCCCTATCCATCACCAACTCCCAGAGTTTACTCAAACTCATGTCCATTGAGTCGATGATGCCATCCAACTATCTCATCCTCTGTTGTCACCTTCTCCTCCTGCCTTCAATCTTTCCCAGCATCAGGGTCTTTTCCAGTGAGTCAGTTCTTTGCATCAGGTGGCCAAAGTATTGAAGTTTCAGCTTCAGCATCAGTCTTTCCAATGTATATTCATGATTCATTTCCTCTAAGATAGACTGGTTGGATCTCCCTGCTGTCCAACGGGTTCTTAAGAGTCTTCTTCAACACCATAGTTCAAAAGCATCAGTTCTTCAGTGCTCAGCTTTTATAGTCCAACTCTCACATCCACACATGACCACTGGAAAAACCATAGCTTTGACTAGACAGACCTTTGCTGGCTAAGTAATGTCTCTGCTTTTTAATAGGCTGCCTAGGTTGATCATAACTTTTCTTCCAAGATGCATCTCAGGTGCTTGCAAAGCCCAGGCACATAGTAGGTGCTCAAGTAAATGCAGCCACTCTTGTTCTCACTGACAAGCTGACTGTACCTCTCCCATCCCAGGTCCTAGAATCTCTCCCAGCCCAGGTCCCACATCTGGACTCTCCTCCCCACAACCTTACTGTTATCTGATTCCTATTGCTTTCTTCTTTCCAAAACCAGATTAAAATTCATGTCCTGGGAGAAACCCTCCCTAGTTTCCCCTACTTAATAGCCTTCTTGGCAGTCTAGTGAAAGATTGGGTAATACAATTTGGGAATGAGACAAGTTAGACTCAATTCTGTTTTCTCCCCTCACCAGTCAGGAGGCCTTAGACTGGACCCTGAACTGAGCCTTCGTTTCCTCACCTGCACAGGGGGACAGTGCTCAAGACAAGATGAAAGAAACAGGTGAAGAGAGCTGGACAAATGTCAAACCACCCTAACATTGGGTGCTTTCTCTGGTGTAGGAAGGATCCACTTGCAGAAAGAGCCACACCCAGAAGGGGCGGGGCGCTGCAGTCTGACAGTGCCAAGTAGAGTGAGTCAGGCTCCTCCCACGCCCCCCTCCACCCCTGGGCTCTGGCTGCCTCCCCCTCCGGCCCTCTTCACACACTCCTGCTGCTCTGCGGTGCTCACCCCACACACGCTCCCTTCCCCCCACCCTGGGTGTGTGCAGACGCCCCCACAGCCTAGCTTACCCCTTCTGCTCATTCTCTCTGTCCCTGTCTCCCTGTCTTTCTCCTGGGACCTTGTCCCTGACTCCGAGATCGTCAGGCCCAGCAGTACACACTCCAAGGTTCACAGAGAGTTAGCAGCTTCTCTTCCACGAGTCGGGGCTTCCCAGGTGGTTCAGCTGTAAAGAATGTGCCTGCCAATGCAAGATACACAGATTCGATCCCTGAGTCGGGAAGATCCCCTGGAGGAGGAAATGGCTATCGACTCCAGTATTCTTGCCTGGAAAATCCCAAGAACAGAGGAGCCTGGAGGGCTACAGTCCATGGGGTCACAAAGAGTCAGACATGACTGAGCGTGCATGCAATACGGGCTCCCATCATAGATTGTTAATTTCCCCGGGGAGCGGACCATGTCTGCCTGATTAGCCTTGAATCCCAGGGCGCCGTGTCTTGTCTGGCCTGTGATTTCTATGGAATCTTCTATCCACTTAATAACATGCTGTCTGGGTCTCAGCCTCAGCATGTGACTCTGGCTCATCCCTACCCTCCCTGGAATGTCATTCCCTCAGCAGTTTAATGAAGGGGCTGGGGACAGTGGTCTCCAGGGTCCTTGTTTGCTTCTGCCCTTGACTTTGAAGGCAGTTTTTGGACATGTGGAGATCAACGCTGCTCATGGTCTAATGGTGTCAGCAGGACAGGCTGCAGGGACACCCCCTGCCCCCTGCGCCCCTCGTTATAAATAACTATCTCTCCAAGTGCTAGGGTCACCCTCCCCCGAGGGCAGCAGTAGGTGGCCAATTACTCTCGGTGGCTGGAGAACCAACACGGAGGGGATGTCAGATCTGAGTGGGTGCCCTGGCCCTGTAAATAACCCACTGGCCCAGCTATGAGACCAAAATGGAAGGTCAGTTGGGTCCCTGGTCTGGGCAGGGGCTGCAGTCACCCGGCAATCATCTGTGGGCCTGAGACTAATGGATGACTCTGAGATGTCAATTACCCCCGACCAGACTCAGAGCAGAGAGTCAACTGCAGGAGCCCTGGCCTATTCGTAGAGCTATGGGCAGAGGGCCCCCCTCAGCTCACTCACCTCCCAGCTCCAGGATGGGTCAGCGCAGGGCTGTCCTGGGAATACACTGAATTCCCAGCTCCCTGGTGAGCACTCTCCCAGGCCCTGAGTTAGTGGGTTCTGGAAGGAGCGGCCCCAGTAAGTCCATCCAGACCCCTGGCTCACAATCCCTTTGTATCATACAAGGTCTGGTGGGAGAAGAGGCAATGAGGGCTGTGGGAAAATCAGACTGGTGACTAGACCTGTGGTCTGAGCTCCCTCCATGTCACTTTCCTGCAAAATGGGAGGCCGGAGATGCCCACCTGGCAGATATAATAAGAGGGCTAAGTGACATAATGAGGTCAAATAGCAAAGCATTGCCTGGCACACATAGGGTGTGTCTGGATCGGCAGGATTCTGGTAGCATGTAGAAAGATCAGCTCATACTGGCTTAAGCAGACAGGGGGGTGGCTCTGACAGTGACACCATGACATCTACTAGAACCCAAGGACGGGGAGGCTGCACGACCTCGGAAGGAGACAGCTCCAAGGAGAGGCCAGCATCCTCTCTTGCTGCCTCTTCCAGACGGAAGCCGATCGCCTCAGCTCCCGAGTGCTAACACCTGCATTTGTGAGAATAGCCCAGATGGAGACAGATTCCCTTGGTCCCCACCCCAGATTTCTCAGAGAGAATCTACCTGGTCCACCTTGGATGGATTTTCTGCCTGTCTCTTCGGGTTTCACCAGGGGAGGCAGGTCAATCAGCACCTGTAAATAACCTGGAAAAAACTGTGTAGGTGAAGAGGGCTAGGCAGAGGGAGTCATCATGAGTTGGACAGATGCTCTCAGAGGATGAGGCTTGGGAGATACTGACTGTAACCTGGGGGGCCCTGCCCTTGAAGAATATACTCGGGATAGGGACACAGAGTTGAGTATACATGTGGCCAGCATGGGTCCAGGGAAGATGAGCACTTGGAGGGTTCAGTGGGGTGAGAACCAAGCTTTCGGTAAGCCTGCCTCCTCCGGCCCTGCTGCGTAGACACCTGTAGAGGCGGCAGCGCGAGCTTCACAGCATGGATGCGGCAGGATCCAGCCTGGACGCTAAGCCTCTCGGTGCAGACATGCCTTTGGGACAGTAGGGGTCAGGCCTCGAGGCAGCCAGCGGGAGCAGCTATTTCATGGCTCTGCCTCAGCTACAAGACCCCATCAACCCAGATCTCTTTATAGCTGCTCCAAAGAGCCAGCATATTTTCAGCTACAATCCTGAGCCCAGGAGGCAAGCAGGAAATGATTCATCCTCTCTCTCAGACATGAAGGCAGACCTGCATTATTAATATTTACCCAGGGGTTTCTCCAAGGGCCCCGAACAACAAACGAATCATTGGGAGAGAAGGGCATGGATCACCAGCATTGCTGAGGTCACTGGCTGCCTCCAAGTGGAGCAAAGGGACCCCTCAAGTGTCAGGGATGAGAGGGACCTTCTGGCTCTCTCTGCCTCCCCGGTTTATCAGAGGAGAAAACTGATGTCCCAAGAAGAAAGAGGCTGGACCAATGAAACCCAATAGGATGGTGGCATAGGAAAGAACAGAGCCTGGAAGCTCAGGGAATGGAAAGAGCATAGGCAGTGAGCCGCCCATCTGTAAAATGGGAATACAAGGGCTGGTCAGGTGGTGTGTGACCAAGACATGAAATGACCCCTCAGAGTGCCTGACAAGGAGCAGATCCTGCACCCATGGCACCCTGGTGAGGCTGCCCCTGCCATTCCCCGCCCCCCATGTCCCCGTGTGCTTTGCACTGCCCCTAGTGGCCCTGTTCGTGCCCTCTGACTCCGACCTGTTCCAAGCAACCCCATGGGGACAGGATCAGGGCAGACCCCTGCCCCAGCTGGGCAGTGTCTCTGCTATAAATGTGAGACTGAGGCTAAAAGGAGCTAGTTGGGTCTGCTGGTTGTTTGAGCTGATGATGGACAAAGTCCAAGTGTGCGGGACACAGAGAAGGGTGGAAGATGAAGTCCCATGGAGAGAGATGTCGAGAGCAAGGTGCGTTCTAGATGGTGCCCGTCCCTGGTCTGGGTCCAGGTACCTCAGTAGTTCTGGCTGCTTTGCCTTGAACACCTGAGAGACCCTTTCCCTGCAGCTGAGTGTATTCTGTTACTTGTACCCCAAAATAAGGAAGAACTGCTGGATGCTCAGGGGGAGTCCAGAGCCAGGCAGCCGGCTGATTTCAGGAAAGAGAGCCCCTTCACATCGGGGCGCGCTCTCTCTCCTAGTCCATCTCTTCCCCGTTTTGTTTTCTCCCTCCATGCCTCTCTCTGCCTTCTCTCCCGCACTCACCCCTTCATCTGATTATTCACTCATCCCACTGGCATAGTCTGTGGCCCACCTGTGCCTGTTCAGCCCCCAGGCTGGCCACAAAGGGGACACTGAGGGGGCTGAGGCCGTGCCCCTGCCCTTGGGGAAGCTCCTGGTCTGGCTGAGAAAACAGATGACTCCATCACAACCCAGAGTGATCAGTGCTGAGATGGGGGAGAGCCTGCATGGGACGGGGAACCCCGGGGAAGGCCCTGATCCTGGCCCCAAGTCAGGGAGGACTTCTGGGAGGAAGTGGTGCCCATGCTGAGACCTAGAGAGGAAGCAAGGAGCCAGCGGGGGGATGGGGTTGGGAGTGGGGTAGATGGGGGAGAAGGTTATCTCTGGAGCCGCAACTTGGCACCTGCAGAGGTCTGGCAGAGAGGGAGAGCGGGGAGCCTTGCGAGTGGCAGGCGGGGCCCGGTGACTGGGGCTGGGGTGTGAGTGTGGGAAAGACTGCACAGGACTCCTCTGGGGTGAGATCGCAGAGGATGAGGCTGGGCTGTGCAGGCTGGGCTTCACCCTGAGGGTCCTGGGAGCCATGCAGGGATGGGGGAAGGGGTCAGGGAGGAAGTGACCCCTCTGTAGGCATCGGTGTTGGGGGACGGATTCCAAGAGGAGCCGGCTTGTCCAAGTCCTGGATGGGAAGAAGCTTCCTTCTCCCCCTCCTCCCCTTCCCGCCCTAGCTTTTCCCCTCCTCCCTCCTCCGATGCCCCTGCTTCTCTGTGTGTGTGTGCTCTCCAGTCCCCTTTCTATGCCCGCTTCTCGCATCTCTTTGCATTTCCTCCTTCCTCCGCCCCGCTTTCCCCATCCGCGCGCTCCATTCTCTCCAGACCCTCCCCACCTCCGGGCACAGGGCTGCATCCCGGCTGAGCTGTCCTTGCGAGGAGCGGCAGCTCCACCTTCAGGTCAGAGCCGGGACCGCCGCGGGGTCTCCCACACCAGGAAGCCTCGGGTCCTTCTCTGCCTCCTGCAGAAGACACAGAGGTGCCCGCCCACCTGGCCCGCTCCCAGTGCCCCCTCTGCTGCCCGCAGCCTCGGGTCCGGCTACTCTGGGTCGACCCTGACATCAGTATCAGATGTCTGGATCGAGCCCAAGTCTCCCACATTGCAGGTAGATTCTTTACCACCTGAGCTACAGGGCTGGGGAGAAAGAAGAGCAAATGGACTCCAGAAGTGACCAAAGAATGGAGTTTGGAATCTGCTTTCAGTGTCTGTGTTATTTTTCCTCTCCCTGTCCTCCACATTTTGCTTCCTCATGACTAAACCAAGCTTCCCCGGTGGCGCAATGGTAGAGAATCCACCTGCCAATACCGAAATGCAAGAGACGAGGGTTCAGTCCCTAGGTCAAGAAGATCCCCTGGAGGAGGGCGTGGCAACCCACTCCAGTATTCTTGTCTGGAGAATCCCATGGACAGAAGAGCCTGGCGGGCTACAGTCCATGAGATCGCAAAGAGTTGGACACCACTGAGAACACACACACACACACACACACACACACACACACACACACGACTAAACCAGGGAGAACAGCTCATGAGCAGAAGTGGGATCCATAGGACCAGGCCGGAGCAGTTGGTGGAAAGACCAAGCCAGGCTTTGAACCTCCATGCTGGTTTGGCCTCTGTGAGGATGAAGACAGAGCTGGTCTATAATGATGGGGAAGCAGGTGTGAGGATGCAGACAGGCTTCAAGAGGAAAATAACATGTGTGGCCCAGCTGCCGCATCCCTGCCCCCACCCCCACCTCACACTGCAGGTTTGGTCCCGTCAATCGTCCGTATTCCTCAGACTCCCCAGGCTCCGCCAGGCCTGCTCCTGTGTGCATGCCGTCCCCCCTGACCAAGAATGCTGGTTAAAAGACCCTTCAGCCTTCCAGCCACACGACTCCTCCTCTGTAAAGTCTCCATTCTCCACCACCCCATGTCCCTGCTCCCCACCCTACACACACACACACACACACGCACACTTATAAGACTCTCCCAAACCCAGACACTCCCTTTTAGAAACTCCTTCCCCCATCAGAGCAAACATCTTAAAATGCCCCCACATCCCCTACTAAAGAGAAATTATATGTAACTATGCAGAGGCTAAGTTGGAGGAAAAGGTGAGCAGTTGAAAATATTAGGTTTTGTAGACATTTGATTAAGTATTTATCAGTTTCAACTTTGCAGCCTTCCCTTTATGTTTTGAAGCCAAATAAATTGTTTTCCTGGGCCTTAAACGTTCTCACAGGCCCTTAAGAGCTCTTAGGCCCTGGCACTTTGCCCGGAACAGAGAGGCTTGTGGAGAAAATGCTCCCCTCTCCCCTCCCCTTCCCCCCGACTCCAGGCAGAACCTGCAGCTCCTTGGCCCCTGTGCAGAGTCACATTGCCAGTGAGAGGACGCTGGAATTATCATCTGTCTGGGATCCCACTGAGGCTGGATGTCACACCCCAGGGTCACACACAGAGAAAAATCAGTTATTGTTTGTTGCAAGAAAGGATAAAGAGAAGGAGGAAAGGAGAAAGAGAGAAGCTGGAGGAGGACGAAGAGATTAAGGAGGGAGGGGAGGATGGTGGTTTCAGCAAAGCCAACAGGAAGAAAGAGCAGGCAGGATAGTCTGTAGGTCGTGATGGGCTCTCTCTGGTCCCCTCTTCCCCTGGACGTTTCCTAAGCTGCATCTCAGGGACTCTTCCACAGAGCACCAAGCTTTTTCTTCCCACAGAGATGTTACCAGAATGCAATGCTCCTGAGGCTCTATTGTGAGACAGGTGCAGGGTGAGCATCAGCCTATCACCCTTGCTCTGGTCTCCACACATCACATCGCCAGCGGAGGCCTGGGGGTGGGGCTGGCACAGATGGGTCCTCTGATGCTCCTCTCCCAGCAACGGTGTCTTTCATCCTCTCTCCCAGCCGGTCGGGATGGTGTGGAGGAAAGAGTGTGGACAGCAGAGAAAGCTTTCTGGATGGTCTCCACACCCTCTGCAGGGAGATGGACATTCCGGCAGCAGCTTGGCTGGTTAGACTTGAATTTGGAAGCCCCACTGTCACATTACGGTCACATAGGATCCCTGCTGACCCCCGGGGGAGTGACATTTCCCACCATCACATCCCCACCTGCGAGTGTCCACCAGACCCTTCTGGGCCTGGACCCACCCACCTCTCCCCAACCCCATTTCCCACCGTGCTCCTCATCACTTACTCCACTCCAGACACACCAGCTACTGGACACCCCTGGGACATTCCAAATACATGCCCACCACAGGGCCTTTGCACCGGCTGTCGAGGCTCTTTGCACAGATATTCCTGGGCTTCACTCTCTGACTTTGCCGTGTCTCTGATCAAGTGTCACCTCCTTGGAAAAGTCTCCCCTGACCTCCCCACCTGAAAGAGCACCCCCTTCCTTCCTCTGGGGGACCCACGGAAGGATCAGCTGAAAATTCCATGAAGGAGTACTGGCTCAGGGAAATCTCAAAGCTAAAAAAGAGATAGTGTGTGGGGGGCACCTACTGTAACCTGGGCTTTTGACCGGTCAGTCCTGACCTATTTGATCACAGAGGACCTTTAAGTGAGGAAGATGTCATCATCCCCCTTCAATAGGTGAGAAAACCAAGGCTCAGGGAGGTGACGCAACCTGCTGTGCATAAGTGACGGAAAGCGAAAGCGAAGCTGCTCAGTCATGTCCAATTCTTTGCAACCCCGTGGACTGTAGCCTACACCAGTCTCCTCCATCCATGGAATTTTCCAGGCAAGAATACTGGAGTGGGTTTGCCATTTCCTTCTCCAGGGGATCTTCCCGATCCAGGGAACAAACCTGGATCTCCCGTGATGCAGGCAGACGCTTTTACCATCTGAGCTACCAGTGACAAAGCCAGCCCCGTATCTTTGTCTACTACCCTGGAGATGGAGGTCTGGGATCCTTAGCATTGGAGGCTGTAGCTGATGCCCCATCGTCGGTAAGACTGTCCCAAGAGTGTAGACAATGGTGAGAATGAGAACCAATCTGTGAGGAACACTGGTCACAATGGGTTAGTTGGTCCAATGTGGGGTGAGATGGAGGAAAACTCAGCCAAGTGGACTGAGATGGGATCAGCCACAGAGGCAGCAGGAGAGGTGTGGAAAAGAGCGGGACGTGGAGAGAGACTGGTAGGAAGTCGGGAAGCGAGTGGTTGAGAGTGGCCGGCAGGGCCTCGTGGTGGCACTGACCTCCCGACTTAGCAGTTGTGCCCTGGAAATATCCCATCCCATCCTTTGCAGGAACAAGGAGGAAGTTATGTGTTTAGAAGCAGCCCAGCCTGACCATCACAGTCCCACCAGACACCTAAAAGAGGTTCCAGGAGGCCCCTGAGATGAACGTGGGAAGAAGGTGGCAGGAACCCCCTTTGCCCTGGGTATCAACTGCTGGCCTGCCCCCTAGGG